TTGCATCCCAGTCCTCAGCCACCCCTTCCCATCCAAGTCCACCCTTCCCATCCCAGTCCCCAGCCCCCCCTTCCCATCCCAGTCCAGAGTTGGACCCGGCTATGTTATCTTACAGTAGTTGCTGGATCACAACACTGGCTGCACAGACTTACAAATTCTTTTTCAAAAGACTTCAGAATATGTATTTAGCTGTTTGCCTTCAGTTGACATACAATGCAACATACTGCTCACGTACTGGAATGTGAGGATCGGCTATGTCTCTCTCAAACATCTTGGGATACATGTTCATGATATATTTTGCAGCATTTCTTCCCGACTCCTTGGACGTGGAATATATAAGCTGGATAAAAAGGGAGAAGAAAAAACCACAATCTCATGTCACAATGTCACTGAACCAGTGTTTAATCCCGTCTCTGCAACAGACCTGCTGTGTGCACTTCACTAAATGAATACAATTTGCCAGATATTACAGCTTCTAAATGGATTAAAGAAACACACACGCATGCACGCACACACTTAAGCAATAGTATATGGAACTCCAGGAAAAAGTCATCAAAAGCAGTCTACTATAACTATCACGTTGCATTCATATGACCTGCTCCCAGGTGACCGTATGCATGGTCTGCCATTGCACTATGGGAGGCCAAGGACGTGATCAGGTGACAGCTAGGTCATTCATTGTAATGACATTACTCCTCAAAGTGCTGCCACTTGAGCTCAGCCACCACCCCATCTTCATGTCATGGGTGGTGACAGATGTGTATTAAGAGTTGCCTTCCATGTATACTGCAAAAGGAGATCTCACACCCACCCAGCTCTCTCAGCACTGGGATAATGATCTCAACCCTGGAAGTGCTAAATCAGTAGTCATTTTGGTCTTATTTAGTATAGCGGGTGAAAAGTCACTCAGGGGAGCTCTACAGGGGACAAGTAACCCAAAATCACAGCCGTGGGTTGTAAACTCCTTTTCAGTGCCATGATAAAATAGATCCAGCCATGGATTTAAGATAGGACAGCAATGACACCCAATAAATCAATGGCAGCATACACATCAAAATTGAACAAAGGAAGACTTGAAGTCTCTGTAGGTTTGTATATTCAGACATACTGGACCGCGGTCCACAGAACACAAACAATAAAGCACATTTACTTACATAATCAGTAGAGGATTTTGGCAAGAGGTAAGGATCATCTTGAAAAACATAGCTGCTCGATGTTGGGTCCTATACAGGAAGTAGAAGGCGGTATTACAACAAAAGAGTGCGTAAAGACTTATTCAAATCAATCTAATAAAACCAAAAACTTACATGATTCACTGTGTAGGCCAGAGCCTGCAAAACGGCGGTCTTATCCCTTGAAAAGTAGAATAAGGTGTTAGAAACACATCAATGTCACTGAAATGACAATCATAGTGAAAATGCATTAACCGTACACAAAGCAATTACTGCCGACTAACGTTACAGAGTCTTGGTCAACACAGATTCAACCAAGAATGATAAAAGGCAAGTTAAAGCATATACTGTATAAAGGCAAAAACAAAAAAACAGATAAGCAGTACATCTCTGCAATTCATGCAACTCAACTCCTTTGACAAAAGTAGATGTAAAAAACAATATATATATATATATAGTGAGTAAACCCCTCACATTTTTGTAAATATTTGACGATATCATTGCATGTGACGACACAGAAGAAATTACACTTTGCTACAATGTAAAGTAGTGAGTGTACAGCTTGTATATCAGTGTACATTTGCTGTCCCCTCAAAATAACTCAACACACAGCCATTAATGTCTAAACCGCTGGCAACAAAAAGTGATATTGGCACAAAATCAGGCAGGAGATGCGATGGCTGTCAATCCTAAAGCTGGCCATATGCTGTATGACTGGAACCATGTCCTGTGGTCTGATGAGACCAAGATAAAACTTATTTGGTTCAGATGGTGTCAAGCGTGTGTGGCGGCAACCAGGTGAGGAGTACAAAGACAAGTGTGTCTTGCCTACAGTCAAGCATAGTGGTGGGAGTGTCATGGTCTGGGGCTGCCGGCACTGGGGAGCTACAGTTCATTGAGGGAATCATGAATGCCAATATGTACTGTGACATACTGAAGCAGAGCATGATCCCCCTCCCTTCGGAGACTGGGCCGCAGGGCAGTATTCCAACATGATAACGACCCCAAACACACCTCCAAGATGACACTGCCTTGCTAAAAAGACACTTCTTAACACTTGATTAAGGGCCAATTCATACTAGTGAAGCCCTCTGCAATATTTTTCATAGAACACACACACAAGCAACGCTGGCAAACAACACTCCCTCTAAACACTGACCAGGTCTTCTTCCGTGGAACTTCAATTTCTTCTGGAGCTGAAGAAGAAAATAAGCAGATGTAAATTGCATATTTTTATACATTATCATTCAGAGTGACAATAAGTAGAGCAGAAAAAAGGAACAGGATCAAAGAAAGACCTCAAATAACAGCCAAGGGTGATGCCTGATGGGGCCTAGCAGTACCAGATCTATTACTCCACAAGTTTACGGTTATATCTTACATTGTAATACATTTGATCCTATATGATAGGACACAATCTTTCTGGCAGACCTTTTTTGTTAAAAGCATCTGTAATAAATATTTCCTGCATGTTGAATACTGCTGAAAGAGTTTAATATAGTTTAATCCAGGGCTGGACAAATCCCAGGTGCCAGGTAGCCAATGCTCCTTCAAAATCACAACTGAGGCCTAACTTTTGAGGTTTCCTCTAGTTGGTGTCAGTGGAGCAGGGTTCTAAAAAAAAAATCCTGCTGGCTTCTGGACTGGAAAGCATAGCTCCTCATTTCTATATTAAGTTGTCCCCCCCATGTTTAATGGAAAGAGAACCAGTCACCAATAGTCATTTGCGGTAATCTGAATTTTTGCTCTTCAACTTGTATATTAGTGCAACCTTACTTTTTTTGTTGTTTGTTTTTGCATTCTCTCCCTGTCAGAGCAGAAGTGTAACGCTGGCCATACACTGGTATATTTTTTTTTGTTCAGCACGCAGGTTGAAGAAAGAAATAAATAACAACAGGTTCCTCCATCCACGTTAAACAGTATTGATGTAGGCATCTTCCGCTGATTGGCTGCCATCACCGTTCACCCGAACGTTTTCTGACCGGCTATTTTGATTTTCTAATGGAAGGTTGCTGGACAGTAGGCTGCCGACAGGTCCATCCACTGTGAATTTTGGCCGGTTCATCAAGAACCATATAAATTCATACAGCATATGGCCAGCTTTAGGCTTGACAGCCATCGCATCTCCTGCCTGATTTTGTGCCAATATCAGTCACTCAAAAAGCTGTCACATAACAAAAGGTACTGACAAGATTACCAAAAAAAAAAGTGTTTTTTTTAATTTTATGTGTCCTCCAGCAGTCCACTGTGTAAGTTTTTGTAGTAGCTGGAAGAGTGGTCAGTCTCAAAAGGGGCCTTACAGCCTGACACCGTGCTGACATTTCTGCTGGGAATACAAGCAAATAACAACATACAAGGCTATCCCTGACGGGTACAGATTCAATACTATAACAATGGAGAGTCAGATTCTTACATTCACACATCCTTGACTGGTTCTCTTTAATGAACAGTGAGGCCACTGAGAGCTCTTAACTAAACTTGCTGACAAGGTGCCCTTGGGGATGTTTATCTGGCCACAAAAAGTGCATATTAGACCTAATCCGTGAATATCTGCTCATATGTGGCAAATACTATTTCCAACCAACCAGATCTGTTCAGGTAGACTAAAAAATGTAGTCACCTGACTCCAGCATTTGTTGGAGCCTTGTTATTGGTTCCCTGTATGATCTAGAGCCTTGGTTCTCAACTGGTGGGTCGTGACCCAAAAGTGGGTCGCGACCCCATGTTCAGTGCATCGCCGCATGCCTTCCTCTTTTCTAGGTGAGAGGCTCCACTGCCTCCCCTAGTGCAGCACTGTCCGTTCTCGCGCCAGGCAGCCATTCAAAATATGCTGCCCGGCGCCGAGTGCCAGCTTGAGGTGGGGTGGGATGGGGCTATGGCTGTGAGAGAGCTCCAATCCCTACATGCATTGTTTACAGCTCCCTCAGTGGACCAGAGTGACATCACATTCTGGTTCCCGGCACCTCTACAGGGCATGCAAGGGAGCTGTACAAGCAATGCACACATGGATGGAGCTCAGTCACAGTACAGCAGCCCACACTGGACCCCAGGCTGAGGATCCACTCCAGTTCTCAGAAGGTAGGAAGATTGGGTAGTCTTCCAACATGGACCTTAAAAATAAATAAATTAAAAAAACAAAAAAATGTTTGGGGTGTGTGAGAATGTCTTGAGTGTGCAAGAATGTGTCTGTGGTTGTGTGTGTCTGTCATTATTTTTGAGGGCCCGTTCACACTAATACAGTGCAATAATCGCATAGTACTGTGTGATTAACGCACTGTACCACGCAATCGCACCTACCGTGCATTCTGGTCTGGGAGGTGTGTTGTGTTGCCATTCATTTGAATGGTACCCCAAACGCACATCCCACCCACAGTTCGTACACCCGCACCGGAATGTGCGATACCCTAATGCTGTGTGTTCCATTGCAGTGCAACTTCGGTCATGACTTAATGATCAAGGACATATGTGGGTCCTGAGGTTACACAGGTTGAGAACCACTGATCTAGAGGTTTACCAAAGATTTAGCAAGAACTATGAGGCACATTTTACCCCATTCTGAACCAAAGTCTCTAGTGTCCAGCCAGCTAAGACGCTCCAAGTCCTGAGATCTTTGTCCAGCTCTCGAAATGGCTATTCTCCATTATGCAGGACAGGTCCACTTTAGAAGTGACACTCTAGCAAACTGGTGAGAAGATTGTAAACAAATAAAGCAATGTGGAGGAACCTGGAAATGGGCACCTACCTGTAGCTGCTTTGTGGCTACTGCTTCTACATAGGAACCTGTGGAGAGCAACAAATCATTATAGGAAAAGCTGCAATATACTCTGCCCCTTCTTCCCTTACAATACAATAAACTTAAAGTGACACTAATTGTTTTGTTTATGTGGATATTTCCTATGTAAACATGTCTACTGTAATTTGTATTGAAAGTTGAAACACTTTAATAAAATCAGATTGAACCAAACTTAAAGTGACACTAGAGAATAGGAGGAGATAAATCTTTAAAATACATTCAAGTATCTGAACTAATTACAAAGATGTATCTTATTTGTGTATCACTCAGCTGCAGATCCTCAAATCATCTCTGAATTGGTGCTGACACTGTCCTTCCTTCTGGAGGGGGGCTACTTTTGTTCCCCATGCTCCCTGTGTGTGTTATAAAGTAGTCACCGCTCCAAGCTCGCTCCCATGATGGACTACAATCTCAGGCTTAGTTTACTCATTTGTATTGAGATTGTAGTCTATCACAGGAGTGAGTATGATTAAGATTTAATTGAGTTTACTTAAATAAAAAAACATGAATTTACCAAACCAGCAAGTGGATATAAGGCACACCTATCACTAAGGACGATCTCTGCTCTAAACAAAAACTTTTTTTAAGAAATATTTTCCTATAGTTGAATTGTTTAGGTCTATGAATATAATGCAGACATGCACCTGGCCTTTAAAGCAGCCTGACTCAACCTTCTAAACACAGAGAAACCCCTGAAATAACTTTCAGATCTCAGGGAACCCCAGATCACGGTACAGGAGTGTGAACTGTACCCTGTGATAGGAGAGTAAATAACAGAATAGGAAATGTGGCGGCGTACGCAGTGTGTTTGGCACCCAGGGCTGTTCTATACAAAATATTTATTTTCTGTCATAATGGAATGAAACAAATATAAAAAGACAGAAAATAAATGATGAGAGCGGAAATTGTGGTGTTTTCTCACACTGGTGGTGAGTGGAGAAATTCCAGCTTACTCTGATGGTCAATGGAAAAGTGATGTTTGTGGTGATTGAAGTGACCCGTTACTTTAGTGGTCAGTAAGGCAGCCCCCTCACATCGGTGGTCAGTAAGGCGGCCCCCTCACATCGGTGGTCAGTAAAATGGCCCCCTCACATTGGAGATCAGTAATGCGGCCCCAGAACATTGGAGGTCAGTAAAGCAGCCCCAGAACATTGGAGGTCAGTAATGTGGCCCCCAAACATTGGTGGTTACAGAGCAAGCCAGTGATAGAAGGGCCTAATTACACTGGTGGTCAGAGGGAAAAAAACTAATGTTACACACAACTAAAAAGATTATTGGGGTCAGTGATTACCGATCATTGTGCAAGGAACCCCCAGCAACTTCTATAAAGGAACCCTGGATGAGAAAGGCTGTGAAGATGTGGTTCACCCATACATGGCCCAAACTCCCTGGGTCGCAGGTTGGGCAGGGACCCTGAGGGCTGCACAATAGGTCCCCCTGGTCCGCAGGTTGGGCATCAGGGTGATACTGGTGGTGATGTGATTAATGCTTCATACAACACTGCTGAGATAATGGAGCATTGGACCATCTTATCCAAGTTGACCCAATGATCCATTTTGGAGGGGGTTCCGAGCTGCTACACATATGCATTAGCTTTGCTGTTCTGAGAGCGCTGTCACTGGGGGGGCTCCCAGCTTGGTGACCAAGTTGTCATGTCCAGGTCAATGTTTACTATCAGGAGCGGGCACTTCTGATCATGTGACCACTATGACAGCCTATAACATCACAGGGAACCCCCACTCACAGCGTTCAGATTCCCTTAAAAGGCCACCAGGAGTTGTGTTATAACATGAACAGGTCACACAGAGGACAATAGTTTTCTATGTGTTCTTGTCTTGAGCCTGCATTACTCTATGCACATCAATAAATGAATGGATATTATGCGTGGGCTGCTTGAAATCACTTGTATTTGAGAAAGTTGACCAACACTGATGTAAAATCCCTGGTGACAGGTTCTCTTTGAGAGGCGGATAATGGTGCACACAGGGTCAGTGATCACACACATACTATGTGCAGTCTGTAGTCTCCAGACTTACCTACACAGAGCCCCGGAACGGAGCCGCACCAGCCGTACACAGGGCAGCGCCATGACAGCTCAGAGCCCGGACTGATCCACTGACACAGGAGAGGGGGGGGGAGTACTTCCTGTTCCGCTTCCCCACTCCTCACCCCGGCTCCGCTCTCTGTGTCCTCTGTGTCACAGTCAGCCGTGTTACTCGGTTATATCAGTACAGCTTTCCTCTTCGGTCTATACATGTCATACATATACACACACACCCCCCCCTATGCGGCGTTCTATTGGTACATTCCAGTTCCAGCCGACACGCACGTGCTTCTCATGCCCTTGCTTACTGTGTAGGACAGTACACAGGGGGACAGGCAGCCAATCAGAATTGGGCGCTGGTGACCCCTTTAGGCTTTTGGTTTTGATGGATTTTTATCTGTATCAAAGCTATTTATGGAGGGGATTTAATTACCCTCATAGAAACAAGTGAAAATTTAGCTGGGATTAGAGATGAAGGCAAAATTCATTTTGTTTAGCTTTGAATAGAGTAAGGAAGGGACAGGAAACCCTGTCACTTTTTTTCCAATATGTGTGGCATTGGGTAGATTTCCCTTCACTTCCCGTCCAATTGCCACAACAGAAAGTCAGGAACTCCCTTTGTGGTCAGAAGGGTCACCAGAACAAGTCTGCCCATGTGAATGGAGCCCAATCCTCTCTTTGGGGAGTTTCTACCTACTATCTGTGCTGGCCCAGCTCCTTCTATGTAGCTGCTGTGGAGGAGCGAAGGGCAATACTATAGAGTGTCACTTTGGTCTGATGGGGCTGCGGACATTTTGGATGTCTACACAGGGGAGGCTTTTACAGGTCAATAGAATGCACATGAGACGGTAAGATTTTGTTGAAACTGATGGCCTGGTGACAGGGTCTCTTTAAAAAATGCCCACTAGAAAGAAATCCTACAATGGTCACCTCTCCTGCTGCTCATGCCTCAATAACGAAGAAAAACCTTGGCTGAAGATCTTCAGGATCCAACACTTCCGGTAGTGCTGATTCTTTTTGTTCCCCACCTTTCCGCTGTGGTTCCTCCCACCGGCTTTTTCATCACTACAGGACACAACAGTGACATAGGGGGTGATGGGAGGAACCACTGACCACAGTGGGGTGCCCAGGAGGTCAGCACTTCCCAGAGTGTTGGTTTCTACAGAGACATCGGTGGACAATGCATCTACAATGGAAGGGTGTTCAGCAGAGCAGGTGGCTGGAGAACTACATATTTAGCTTCTGGAATGTATTTTTGGAATAGTTGCTTTGAGGTGCTTCATTTTCCACCCATGTGTTTCCTTGTCAGCTGCAGGGTGAGGGCTCAATTCTCATTCTTATATCTCTTATGCATGTTCCCTTCTTGTCTCTGAACAAGCTATAAGGGGGTAACTACAATACCATTCAAAGAGAACTATGGCCTAACCTTTGTTGTCATAGTTCTCTTTAGAATCACAGGAGATCCTGGGACCCAGAATTCAGCATATAGCGGGCTCTAATTTTAGGAAAGAGAGTATTTCACCCTCCCCATAATTTTCCTTTAACTCTGTGCCCTATTAGGTACCCTCAAAAAAAGGTCTGGGTTATGTTCATATTACCTTTCTCATGTGTTCCCTATTTGAGACTACAGGCACTGGCAGTATACCCGAAACCAGAATATTTATCACCACTGTCACCTACTATGCCTGTTCTGATGCAACTCTATGTGTGGCCTACAAAGGTACCTCCAAAAATGCTCATCCACAGAAGACCTACCTCAACTATAAGCATAGTGTACCTGTCTGCAATATGTACCCTGAAGCTAGTGCAGTTTAGTTGAAAGCATATTGGACAAGGTGACGGAAAATCTTTCAAAGCAAATCCTGTAAGAGTCATCTGAGTACAAAGTCTTGTCTGCCCTCCACCCCTGACCTCACCATCTCATTCCACAGTCTTCTGTTGATTCTCTCTTCTCCACTAGTGAGGGAGAGTCTGTGCAGAGAGAGTCTTCTCATGAAAAAATAAATATTGACAGGTGAAGGACCCTTGTCCACAGGCTTTTGTTCATATCAGCATTGCTTCTTTCCCCAAACAAGCCAATAAGAGTGCAAAAGCAGATCAATGCCGTTTAAAAGAGGATCAAATGCATGTCAGAAGAAGGTAAACTGAAGAAGCAGGACAAATGAAGGGGGCCAACTGAAGAAGGAGGTCAACTGAAGAAGCAGGACAAATGAAGGGGGCCAACTGAAGAAGGGGGCCTTCTTCAGTTGACCCCCTTCATTTGTCCTGCTTCTTCAGTTGACCTCCTTCTTCAGTTGGCCCCCTTCATTTGTCCTGCTTCTTCAGTTTACCTCCTTCTTCAGTTGGTCCCCTTCATTTGTCCTGCTAGATTCTAAGCCCTCAGGGGCAGGGCCCTCCTTACCATCTTGTCTTGAATTGTAGTGTGATTGTAATGTCTTCCTTACTTAGTAATTATTTACTATCTGCCCACTTTGTGAATGAACAAGAAACAGCTCAGTACAGAGGCTTCCCGTCCATTCATGACTGGGTTGATAGTAAATATTTTCTATCTCCAGATTGTGAATGAACAGGAAGCCTCTGTACTGAGAGGCTCATTGAGTGCTGGGGCTGCAGAAAAAGAGACTTTCTGTCCTCAATCTTTTTTTCTAATTTAAAAAGGAAATATCAGGCTTCTGTTTAGACCCCTGATGTTTCCCCAAAGCCCCAAACAGTAAAGTTAAAAAAAAGCCACACAAATAAAATAATTTTAAAAATGTTTTAAAAGGTTGAGAAGTTTCGATCTGATATTTTTTGAAATTTCAGTTTTGGTTAAAAAAATTAATTTCAGTGCATCCCTAATAAATACCTTTCCCTACCGATTGCCCTGAAATCCCTATAAGACGTTCAGTGATTGATTTTTTTTTTCTTCATTTTATTTATGTGTATTGTACCATTTTTATCAAACCGCTTGGCTAGTTTTTTCTGCTTTGCCAAACATTTTGTAATGTGTTTATGTATTTCTCTCAATACACATGTGATAGTTATCTGATCAGAGCAGGGACTGCAATTACCCTGACCACCATTTTCTGTTTAATTTCTCTGATATACACTATCTGATGAAGAAGTAACCTGACAAACCCCAAACTAAACACTTTTTATAGTTGCTTATTAAACTTTTTTATAATATATATATATATGAATATAAAATAATAATAACCCTTGCAGTATGAGATAGTCCCACCGTAAGGCCCCGTTCACACTGAGCGATTTATCGCAGCGATATCGTTCATATTTCCGCGCGATATCGCTCTATGTAGCTTCTCCAATCCATTTCAATGGAGCTGTTCACATCTCGTCGCTCAATATCGCTCGTCGCGCATTATCGCTCAAAGTCGCGCGATTTTCATTTTGCTCAGTGTGAATGGGGCCTTAGGGTAGTTTTATCGTTTGCCTGTAGATGGGCTTTAAGTTAGAACTGTGGATTCGGCCTCTGATGCAAGTTTATTTTTATAAACACAGCAGTTCCTCTTTTCCCTAATCACCAAAAATGTTAGGACATTTTCCTGAAAGAATGGAAACACCCTGATATTGCTCCTACGCCCACTGACTCCTTCTACCTCTTCCCTTAGAGGACCTGATCCATAAATAGTTACTCCTGTGGTTTTAACTTCCCTTTGTAAACTCTTTGTTGTGAGTAGAATTGACCTAGATGACTATACAATAGGAATATGGGTCGTCCCCTTATACCTCAGGTGACGCGTGCTGTTGTTGGTCTTATCGTCAGTTGCTGAGTGAGTAGATAGGTGAACATGTTTCCATTCTATTTCTCTTCACTCGTTCTTGTGCTTACTCCCCCTCCCTTCGCCTGCCCTCTTTTGTTTCCTCCTTTTAAAGCTGACACCTTGTCCTGTCTTCATACGTTTACCAATTCTTTTGCATATTGATGATGTGACAGCTTTGGGTGATGGCAGATTTGTTCACAAGATATTGCACAAGGTTTGTTCTGTAGTTCTTCACGTGTTTTTTTCTTTCCCTTCTTTCATGGGACTTCTTTTACCCCAAGAGGTGCATTATGTTCCCTTAGGACGAACACTTAGGAGTCTATGTCAGAGTCATCAGGGTTGTCTACAAAGTGCGTCTGGGCTACACTGAAGATGACTTGCTTACAACTGATGTCTGGTGGTTTTTGTGCCCTTATAACCCTGGCCTCTTCCTTTTCTCTACCGTTGGTGGTTCAGTGGCTCTGGCATGTTCCTGTTACGTGAATACTCCATTGTGACACATAGTAAACAGAGGCATTGGCACTGCGAATCCCTGTGATTGTTAGTTCTGTGCGAATGCATGGGTAAAATGAACGTTCTTGTATATTTTCTATATAAGTTGAATGTCATCTTGTATTGCATTATGGCCACTAGGTGGAGTAATGGGCATAGGGAATAAGTATTTATTTCCTATGCTCCTCAACGCCATCTAGTGGCCATAATGCGTTATTCCAAGATGACATTTACAAATACAATCAACTTACAGTATAAAGAAGATATACAGGAACTCCACCAATGGGCAGCACCACAGTGACATGACACCACTTTCCTCCTGTGAGTCCAGGGCGGTGGACAAATCCTTGACACCCTCAAAGGAAGTGGGTTAAAATATGCCCAGCGTCATTCAACCTAGAAGAGGAGCTGTGCACATAACTGAATCCCTCTTCGGAGGACAATTCTGGAGATCAGGTAGGTATAGCACCTGGATCTTTCTTTTTTTCATTGTAGCAACTGCTGGAGATTCCACTTTTTTGTTTTGGCCCAAGCTGAGGTTGGGTTTTAATGCTCACCTTTAATCCGGAGCTGTCCCTGCAGTACCTCGTCTTCATCAGAAGTTGTGCAGGTTGAATGATGCCCATCGTCACTTAACCCTGAACACGGAGCACATGCTGTGAGTCCAGGGTGTCATGGGAGGGCATCACCATAGAGCCCCCTTATTTTTAGTGTACTGGTGCATAGAGCGGAGCTGACGTCATCATGTCTGTGGGATCACTGAGGTCCCTCATACCTGGAGAAGAGTCCGGGGCAGCCTTTAATCTGATGTTAAAGTGACATTAAACCCTCAGATTTTTTAACATAAACCAATACTGTAATGTGTGCCTTACTGTAATCCATGGTTGTTTCCCTTCTCTTTGCTGCTCTTCCTTTTAAATCCTCATGTCTTCTCATTCTCTGCAGAACTTCCCTTTTCAGCTCAGGGCCTCTTCCTGTAGTGCTGGCTCAGGTTACAAGCCTATACAAACCTATACACAGACACCGTGTATCCATTCCTGAGACAAGGCAGTCTGCTGCAAAACAGAAGTTCTGCCCAGCATGAGAACAGATACAGATTTAAAAGGAAGAGCAGCAAAGAGAAGGGAAACAACCATGGATTACAGTAAGGCACACATTACAGTATTGGTTTATGTTAAAAAATCTGAGGGTTTAATGTCACTTTAAATGTTTCTGATCATTCTGTGTTATGGCTTCAGAAAATATTTTTTTTCTGGCCTCTATTGTATACTTTTAAGTGCAGAATAATGTTTCTTCTTTGAGAGGTAAATGTAACAATATGTGGTTAGTGTAGTCATGGAACTAAGCGTTAAATATACTCAGAGCTGCACTCTGTATGCCCACATCCGATTATCAGGTTATTTAAAAACAGACACCAGTTGATGAAGTGCCAGAACATGACAAAAATAGTTTATTTATCAATATTATTTAATCAACATATTCATACATTTTTGTTGCCATGTATGATCTGCACAGAACAAATAGCTGCCGTAACCACCAAGAAGGAAACATTGCATACAAGAAAGCAAAAAATATACATTGCTGGTGTAGGACACGTGTGGAATCCATCCAACATGAATCACTATTTATGTTTCTAGTAGGGTGGGGAAGGTTTGGAACTGATATTAGAATTTTATGGCTTCCTGGGTCTCCACTTGGGAAATTTCCCCTTGATTCCTGTCCTTGTGTGATATAACTGTTTAAAAAGGGAGGGATGGCAAATCTACGCAGTGGGCACACAGATGGCAATACAAATGTATAGGTTTTTTTAACCCTTCTCTACTCTTTCAACCCCCTCCCCCCCCAAAAAAAAAAGTTAGGCTTCAAGCCAGATGATCCGACACTCCCGGCGGAGAGACCAGGGGCCCGCCGCGCGCTGGATAACGATCCGGCGGCCGGCAACTTGCTGGGCCCCCCCAGAGCCTGAGGCCCCGGGCGCCCGCACCGCCTGCACCGGCGGTAGTTCCGCCACTGGCTGGGGCTTCTTTGTGGGATTGTGTGCGGAACTTGCCTCCTATATACTTATGGAGGAGAGATGTGGAAGAGTTTGAGTGGTGTATCTTTAATCCTTTAGTTTTACATGTGGCTTTCCTGACAGATGAGAACGGAGCTGCTTGTAGTCCTACATACATACCAACTGTCCTGGATTTGCTGGGACAAGCCCAAATCTTGGTCATCTGTCCAACCAATGCTATGTGCAAGGATGGCAGCATCAACCTTATTTAAAGTGACATTAAAGGATACATTTTTTTTATCTCTCCACCCAATGTTATTGTTAGCACTTACCTTAAATGATGTCTCTTAATCCGATCTTCTTTCCTGATGTTTTCATCTGTCCCTCCAGCGGTGCGGCGGCTCTCCGATCCAGCGCTGACTCCTCTCTGCTTGCTGGCACTTCTGATCTCACGGTGTCTGCATGCGGGTACCTTGCATCTCTGCTCGTCTCCCGGCCAAGAATCCGAACTGCGCATGCGCCCGCCCCAAGATTGTTTTGCGGCCACCCGAACAGTTTTGCTTTCTCGGGCGGGAGCGCGCAGCAAAAATAAATTAAGTTTAAACCGCTATTAAAGCGTTTTTTTTTTTTAAAACTGTTTGCCTATATCTACTGCTTGATAGCAGTAGATATAGGCAAAAAAAACCCGGAGGGTTTAGAACCCCTTTAAGTTACTGCACATGCTCAATAACTCAAAAATTGATTATTTATGAAGGTCGGGGCAGCAAGTGGGCAATCCCTGCATATTTATAGACTGAGTGGCATCAACCCACCTGTAAAGTAGGCATGGTTGGTGGTTCAAAAAACACAAACAAGGGGCGCCTTTCCTGGTGCAGACACATTTATTAAGAACAAAAGCAAAAATGAATGTGAAACATACTCACAAAGGTCGACATGATTACAGTGTAAAGAGTAAGTACATGGACCCAAGAAGAAGCCTGTGATTGCTGCACAACCGTGTCTGTGTGCCAGCCAAGAAGACTGTGTGATGACGCGTTTCCGGGGTCGCGCCCCCTTCATCAAATGCCACACTGTAATCATGTCTACCTTTATGAGTATGTTTCACATTCATTTTTGCTTTTGTTCTTAATAAATTTGTCTGCACCAGGAAAGGCGCCCCTTCTTTGTGTTTTTTCCCTAGATTTTGCAGTCTCCCTGGCTGGTTTGGGGCAGCATCCTGCAGACTCTCTACAACCTGCTTCAATTTTAAACAGATTTTGTTTTTTATTATGCTTTTTATTGCATTGTTATATCCTGGCTGAGCAGTCCTATCTGGCGCTTTTTTTGTTCATATCCATGGTTGGTGGTTCCTTCGTATTCAGAGGCAGGGTCTAATTCGGGCCAACCCATTAGTATGCTGTATAACAGGATAGTATATGTTAGGACTTTACAACTCCTTAAATTATCACCATGAGCACGAGAAACTTGATGGAAAGACGTTGATTTTCAGTGGTGGGTAGGAACGGGTTAAATGGATTCTGTGCAAAGAGATACAAAGATTGCCACTGCTGCCTACTTCCTGAAAATGCTAATTACCTGGATGACTGCCTTCAGATTTCTGATATCCTGACCTGGAATAGGCATAGAGCAAGTGTGTTCAGAACATCTGATCCAGCTGCTTGATGACTATTGAAGCCGGCATACCGACATGGCTGCCAGGCAACTAGCATTTTCAGAGAGGAGTAAATGGCATCCTCTTAGTTTCCCAGTACTGATTATCCTCACAATCCCTCTGAAAAATCCATAGATTTTCTTCACTCAGTTCCTTCCAGGAAAAACAAACCCAGTCAGCGGTGAACGACTTTATTCATACAATTTCTCAGGTATGTCACAAATAATTCAAAATACTTTTTTTTTTTTGTTATTTTGTATATTTTTACTTTAAAAAATATATAAAAGCGATAAAAGTCATAGATCTGTGTATCCAACGAGAATAAAGATTCGACTTTGTAAATATTGTACAATTTTCAGAAACAGGTGGAACAAAGTGACAGTTGCAGCTTGAAGCGGGTGACGCCACATCTGTGTGTGACTCAGTGTCCTACTTCTATATAAAACCTATACAAGTGAATGATAACTAGCACTGCGTACAGCCATCTAATTCAAGGAAATGCTAATCTTACAAGACAGGAAATGAAGCGGGATTAACCAATTCATCCACAATTCAATACATTGCAGTTACTTTAAAAAAAAAATAGAAGGGGGAAAAAAACAGTGGGGAAAAACTTTTTTTTAAAACTATTTTGCAGCAATTTGGCATGGAGGAGGGGCTTCAGTAAATAAGCGGACCGTACGTTAGAGTGCAAGGTCCACGTGAATTTGACAATTAGCCAGGCATATTGCTTTCGGCACAGGTTAAAGTGACACTAAACAGGAGTTAAATCTTAAAAATACATTCAAGTACCTTAACTAGTAACAAAAATGTATCTTATTTGTGTATCACTTCCTCAAATCATCTCAGAATTGGTGCTGACACTGTCCTTCCTTCTGGAGGGGGGCTACTTTTGTTCCCCATGGGCCCTGTGTGTGCTGTCCCAAGCTCACTCCCGTGATGGATTACAATCCTAATACAAATTAGATAACTATTTAAGTGCATGATGGGAAGTCCAAGTTCACTCCCATTATGGACTAAAATAGTTTAGTAATTTGTATTGAGAGTGTAGCCCATCACGGGAGTGAGCTTGGAGAAAAAAAAGCACAGCGTGAATTCCTAACCAGCAAAATCTGATCCTGCAGAAATGAATAGAATGGAAGCTATAGTGGTGGCACCAGTTTCTAGCAACTCAATATGTTGCAAGCTCAAAAATATTAAGTGAGGCCACAAGTGACATCCTCAATTGTCAGGCCCACTTAACTAAGGGAACAAAGCACATGAATAACCTGTACATAATTCACAACATAGGATGTTAGTCCTCATACGAATCATGAGAAAGCTAAGAGGGTTGTCAGCAGATAGAGCCAGGGCTGAGAAGGTCCACCACAATCACTTCTTGTGTTTGTTCATGAGGTTCATCTGACCATTTCTTTCCTCCAAGGGCCTAGAAAACAGACAATATTTTACTATGTCATACATGTATATAGTCTGCATTGCCCTGCAGAGAACTCTGGCCATCTCACATAAAAGTGGTGGCTCTTAGGACTTGGACACTTATTATTTAGCTCTGACGTGTCATTCTTATGTTTCACATATGTCTGAGCTCCTCCATGCAGTCATCTTCTGCCATACAAGAGCAACATCACCAAGCACTAGAGACTGGGGCTAACTCCCATGATGTGCTGGTTAATAGGTGACCATGTTTCCTCTGACTTCCAGACTTCTGGCTTTGCAATATACATGTGCAAATTGTTTCATTCCGGATCAAAATTCGTACGAATTTTCCAAAAATTCAGACACATCCGAATTTCCCAATCCCAATGCATCCGAATGTGCCCGAATCCAAATTTCCATTTCGGAGCCAGTCAAAAACGAAACTGAATTGGAAATGTGACTTTTCTGTCGAATCAGATGTTTTTTTTTCAGTTAAATGCATCCGAATGGGTCTGAACACGAATTTTCGTTAAGGCAACATGGGAGCCATATACAGTATATACATATAATACTAAAGCTGAGGCTCCTAGACCCGAATGGCATTCAGGATCCGAATTTAATATGGCCTAATTAGGAAGTCATTTTACAACAACGTAACACATATTTGGTGTCACCGAAGTTGGCTTTCTTCTGTGGCATCCCATATATGTGCCATCTGTTTGTGCTGAAAACACCCTTGTATACCCGTTGCATGGGGACCGAGCCATCTCATGTTACTGGGAACTGGGAAGATCATAAGACCACTGTGATAGCCTCCACCTTCCAGAATGTGCCAAGCGGAAATCACATTGTAGGACCATGGACTTGTGTGCAGTCTTCCTCAGTGTACCCGGTCAAGCGCATCTCCTAATCTAACCCAATGCCATGAGAGTTGATTCAAGTGCCTTCCTCTCCATCATATGCTGTCCTAGGAACATGTGAATAATGATTCCTGTCCACAATCCTCTGCCCTCTGCAAAGACTCAAAGACAAAATATTTCCATGGGCCCAGAGCAAGCAAAGAAACAAAACTTATTTGCTTTGACGTGTTGTGTGGTCATTTTCTTCCATTACAGCAATAAGCCACATCCCACCTCCACATCGTGGTTAGGTGATTTTTCTGTCTTTACAACCCTGATATTAATGATACTCTTGGCCAGTTTTATCTCTGCTGACCATGCTGATGGATCATCTCCATCTACACCTCCTCTCTTGGTCAGTGGATAACCTCGCATGGCTTCCAAATGCAGGCAAGTTTATCTCTCACCTCTTCAGTCAGTCTTATTGAGCACCCCTAATTTATTAACTGGCATATCAGTATGGATGTCACACCACCTCTTAAAACTTGGTCTTTTAAAAACGAAGCTCATGATATTGAGGGTGCTTGGTGTAATCATGGTCTCTGACCTCTGCTTTCAGCTCCATATCTAATCTTTATCCAAATCCTGCCTCCTTCACCTCTGTAACATCTCCAAAATACACCCCTTCCTGACCAATGACACCACCAAGATACTTTTTTTACTCCTTTTTATCTCTCACCTTGACTATTGCAACTCCCTCCTCGTTGGCCGATCTCTACACATCTATCCCCCTTCAGTCTATTATGAATGCCACTTGCGGATCCATCCACCTTACCATCCATTTAATGGTCACTACCCCTCTCTGCCAACCCCACCACTGGTTTTCAATCAAAGAATAAAACTCACAATACTAACAACAACATACATGCCATCCAGTCTGCCCTGAGCTATGTCACCAACCTCGCCAAATATCACCCAAACCATCCTCTTCGATCTTTCCACGACCTCCTTCTCTTTAACTCCCTCGTCACCTCCTCCAAGACTTTTCCACAGCATTAAACTCCAGCCTTCCCTTCAGTCTTGCCCAGTTGTACCGGCTCCTCTACTGGACTGAAATTTGCTTCCTCTCAATTCACTGCACACTGTGAGCATCTCATAATGTGCATTGGACGCTGATAGGGCCCACTGCATTCCCTGGCTGGAGGGTGTCCAGAATGATCTAGTCCTTTCCTCCACAGCCTGGCCCTGCCCCTTCAATTCATTGGATTTCAGTTTTTTCAATCATAACCTAGGATGGTCTACATGTGGATGCGGCCTGTCTTGGAATGTCCACTCCTTCAGAATGGCATCCACCCATCCAGGAATTTCGATATTTGCATGACTCCTGCCAAGAGCCAGCCCACTGCCTGCATTAAGGTTTAGGATTCTATAGAGGAGTACTTAGGCAGGGTGCTGTGATACTTTCATGAAGCTACAGAACCCTGCTGGTCCCCCCCACCAGCGATGATCTGCCTGCATTGCATAGAGAAGTTCTGAGACCCAGTGATGATGTCACAAGGTCTAAAATAAAGCATATAATGAAAATGGAAAGATTTTATGTAAAATGTCATTAGGATGTTGATGAGGAGGAAAAGGATGGACCAATATAAGCAGATAAAACGTCAGCTTTAAATACATACTCACCTGTGTTTACAACGGCATCTCCTTCTCCTTGTACCTGAAACAGATAAAGAACATTACATCTCCCTCAAAGGATTCACATTATTAAATAGAACATATAGTATACAGTGTAAAGGAGGAACAGACTGTACATTTATCAGGATTGGGGTTGTCACCTGTCCAGGATTCACCCGGACTGTCTGGGTTTAGAGTCCCACAGGACAGCTGAAAACCCGGACACAAGATGCCAGGATGTCAGGCAGACAGGGGCAACCACAGGGTCCTGGTGTTCCAATATGAGTCCATTGAGGAGGCACGGGACACGGAGGGACGCTCTAACTTGGGCAGCATGGAGGTGTCTGAACCACAGGGTACAGATAAGTCTTGAAGGTCACAGTGGTTCTGCTTCAGGCAGATGTGTTGCTTCCTATCTCTCCTCACTCTTTCTCCTGGCTGTCTCTCCTTATTCTCTCTCCTTGTTCTCTCTCCTCGGTCTTTCTCCTTGCTCATCCTCCTGGCTGCCTCTCCTCGCTCTCTCTCCTTGCACTCTCTCCTGGCTGTCTCTCCTCACTCTTCCTTCTGGCTGTCTCTCCTCTCTTTCTCCTGGCCATCTCCCCTCACCTTTATGGCTGTCTCTCATCTCTCTCTCCTGGCGGTCTCTCCTCGTTCTCTCCCCAGGCAGTCTCTGCTCTCTACTGCTTTCTCTCCTCGCTCTCCTGGCTGTCTCTCCTCGCTCTTCCTCCTGGCTGTCTCTCCTCGCTCATCCTCCTGGCTGTCTCTACTTGCTCTCTCCTGGCTATCTCCCCTCACCCTCTCTTTTGGTTGTCTCTCCTGGCTGTCTCCTCCCCGCTCATCCTCCTGGCTGTCTCTCCTCGCTCATCCTCCTGGCTGTCTCTACTTGCTCTCTCCTGGCTGTCTCTCCTCAACCTCTCTTTTGGTTGTCTCTCCTGGCTGTCTCCTCCTCGCTCATCCTCGTGGCTGTCTCTCCTCGCTCATCCTCCTGGCTGTCTCTACTTGCTCTCTCCTGGCTGTCTCTTCTCACTCTCCCTCCAGGCTGTCTCTCTTCGCTTTCCTGGCTGTCTCCTCCTCGCTCATCCTCCTGGCTGTCTCTCTTTGCTCATCCTCCTGGCTGTCTCTCTTTGCTCATCCTCCTGGCTGTCTCTCCTCGCTCTCTCTCCTGACTGTGAAGGAGGAGATGAGTAGGGGGCCACATTCTACTTGGCTCTTTCAGTGCAGAAGTTTGGAATGTATTTTGGATAAAACAAAGTGTGATTTTGGTTACAAAGCGTGACTTATTAGCAGGGGACAGCCATTGCTTTCACTCCATTTTGCTCCATTTGCCACTTTTCTCACTTTGATGTCCCCAAATACAGACCAAACATCAGCTAAGCAGACTTCATATACAGGAATGTGTTATAGGACATTTCTTAAAGGAAAAATACAAGTAAATGAAAAATGTAATCTGAACTTCAAGTTCAGATTTCAACTGAACTGAAGAATAACCCTTTTTAAAACCTTACATTGGTCCAACTTGATTACATCTAATTCTTCATAAATCACAGCTGGGGGGCTGCTGGGGATTCTGAAATTCACTGTAAAAGCCTGTTCATTGACACCTGGTCTACATATCTAACTACTGAACTACCCCTAGATCAATTACGTGACGTAATGCTTATTTTCCAATATTCCAAATGGTTTCTTACTGCCAAACTCACTAATTCACTGGGTGCCCTCGATGTCCTTTGACGTAACGCACCACGAACACGGCCAAATGCTGGACTTAATTCCCCTACGTGGAATGCTGAAACGCATTACCATCCCCAGACGACTTTTCTCACACGCAACATCTCTCAATCTCAACTTCATGACCGAGTGTATTAATGGTTACTATGGTTACTCTAATTTCCAGCACCAACTGTTAATTTGTTGCCTGTATTGCTGTTGCCCTCCAGGCGTTGGTGTATTATTTTATTATTTTGTCTGTTGTTCTTTCATTTGCTAACATATGCAAACTGGTCTGAACGGGAACCTTTCCCGCACATGAAAAGGTATATCTCTACATCACTAGAGACTGGTTGACTATTTACTTACCTTATCGCTTTGTTATAGCTCACCAAATACTCTGTACTTTATGTCTTGTATGATTGACAATACATACATGTTGTATTATTCTTTGTTCGAAAATAAAAAATGTACATGCAAAAAAAAAAAAAGCCTGTTCATACAGTCAGTGCTGATCTCTTCCAGGTGCTGCTGGAGCGACTTGTCATTTACTGTATATACTGAACACAGGGTGTCTATTACTAAACAAGTGACAGAACCGTTTGCCCTGCGAATCTCTGTGAATGTTTGTTCTGTGCAAATAGAGGTAAAAATGAACATTCTTCATATATTTTCTTTTCAGGTCAAATGTAATGTAAATGAATACCACATTATGACCACTAAATGGAGCTGAGAAGCATAGGAAATAATATATATTTCCTATGCTCCTCCATTCCATCTAGTGACAAAAATCCAGTATTATATTACATTACATTCGACCCGAAGAGAAATATACTAAAAACATTCACAGAAATCCCCAGGGCCAATGGCTATGTGATTTGTTTATCAATCGACTCCAGGGTTGTTGTGCGTTCAGCACTACCACCCTTTAGAGCACGTTTTATTTTTAAAAATTAAATACAAGGCGCTCTCTGGTTGGATGAGGTGGGGCAAATGATATCTTGATTCCCACATCATCCAATTACAGAATACCTTACATTCATTGAAATAATACAAGACATTCCGCAAATGGCAGAGGTGAGCAATTGCTGAGCGAGCGACTCCCTGTGCTATGTATTCAGACGGCAAGTGACTTGAGCAGCACCCGGAAGTGACCAGTTCCTTGGGAAAGTCAATTCTCTAGCACAGTCCCCTCGCTCCTTGCATGTCACAGTCCTCTCTTTGCAGGCAGGCTTTCTCTATATTACATAAGTGAGGAGTCACAATGCAGAACCTTGTCTATTTTTGCAGGTCTTGTGCTGATCAGGTGTAAGTATGCATCAAGGAAGGGAAAACACTATTGGGTGCTGTGGCCCGAGAGTTGCACAATGAGTATCAAATGTCCTCGTACGGCCCTGAGACTGCAAGTTGGGGAACAGAGGTTTACAGTTTTACATTTGTAATTACTTGTACTGTTGCTTACTCAGACTAAGCATCCATATCTGTAGTTGATTTAAAGTAGAACTATGGGCAAAAACCATCTATAATGCAGTCTATAACTAGCACTACTATGTGCAGTAGAACCCCCAGACTTCTATGGGTCTATCTCCCTGTCCCATAGAAACCTATGGGGGCCTGTTAAGCATTTGTGGGCAGTAGGATGAAAAGGATGGGCCAGTCGCAGGTAAATATTGCTTTGGAACCCCTTTGGGGGGCACTTGACTGCAGAACTTAGTAAGCATCCAGCTGAGAAGGGTGAAGGTAGGATAGATCAGTACAGTGATGAAGGGGGCAGGGATTGAGATAGGTACAAAAACTTTCAGAAAATTGCTGTTTGAGAGGTTTTTTTTAATGAAGTGTGGTTATTTGTTTTGTTTTTTTAGATGTTTGGAATTTTCTGTGATTTTCAGTAGTTGACCCTCTTCCTACGTAGAAAAAGGAACCACACATCCAGATCCTCTTTTTCAGCTGCATTAAAAATGTATATATAAAACCATAAAAACTCTGTGCCTTTACCCCATAACTATTTTTTAAAAAGTGGTTGTGTCTGATTCATATCGAAGATTGATATCCATAAATTTATTTAAATATAGCCCAGCGCCTAATATTAGAATCTCTATGATTAGTGCTTACTCCCCTGTGTAACCCTCTCCCATATCAAAGAATAAGCAATATAATTAATACAACACATACACAAAGAAAGTGAATAAAAGTAAATAAACAATAAATAAAAACAATTCCTGCAGTCTCCGTGTTCTTCTAGATTTGTCATAATCTATTTTTTAGTGCAGAAACTCCAATCCTCGTGGGACCCTTCAGCAACCACAAATGTTATCTCCTTTTTGCCAAAATTCATATTAAATTAAGTGAAAACCACCAATTTCATGCTCCCCCTGCCTTAGCTTCACTCACCAGTGGATGTCCTCCAGTGGCAAAACGCGCTGGACGGGGCTTGTGATGTCATTAGGCAAGCCTTGCTTTCGGGGACTGGGAGGAGTAAGCTAGACCCAAGATGTACAGTGTATGTTAGTGCTGACAATGCCGAAATTCAAACAATGGCAAAACTAAATTATATATTGGAATCCACCACCTCCATGCTCCCCCTTTCCTTAGCTTGACTCACTAGAGGGTGTCCTCTAGTGACAAAACGCATTGGAATCGGGGCTTGTGAATCATGCTTCTGGGATCAGGAGCACTAAGCTAGACCTAAGCTGCATATGTTCAATAGGTGTAAATGCTCTAAATTGGAACAATGCCAAAAATGTAATTATATATTGAAATCCACCACTTCCCCCTTCCTTAGCTTCACTCACCAGAGAATGACCTCCAGTGATGAAACGTTTTGTCCAGGGCTAGTGACGTCATTACACAATGCTTGCTGCTGGAGCTTGGTAGAAGTAAGCTTGACATAAGCTATGTATGTTAGCCCTGGCAATGGCAAAATTCAAACAGTACCAAAATAAAAGTTGTATATTGTGGAAACCACCAACTCCATGCTCCCCCTTGTTTAGCTTCACTGAGCAGAAGAGTTAGACCATTATCAGTAAAAAGGTCAATTTGCCCTTGATCTGGCATCACAATTCTCCTCAACCACCAAGAGAGATACAAATAGTGCAAAACCTTTACCTTTCCTGAGGAAGGCCTCCAGTGACCTAAAATACATTTGTAAGCTTTGACGTAATTATGCGACACTTGCTTTTGGGATCAGGAGAAGTAGGTAGGTAGTAGACGTAAGTTGTATGTGTTAGTGCTGGCGTAGCATTTGTTATTATAAGCGTTGATCTTACCTGTTATAATAACAAAAAATGGTTTTACGCTATTTGGATTTCCCTTCTTGTTTAAAAACATGGTACTGCT